AACTTATGATTTCCGATTTGCAAATTGCCTTGCCTCTCAATATAAACTCTTTATATTTGATTTCCACCAGACTCTCAGAATAGAGTTGTAATGAACATTACATACAAGTTTCTGTTTGAGCCCACTTCCAAGTTTTTGGGGTTTTCCCCAATAGCGGTACCATTTTATACTCAAGTTCAAGTGATTTTTAGACAATTGTTAAATGCCATTGAGTTGATTCTGACTTATAGGAACCAGATGCACAACAGAATGAAACATCGCCTGGTCCTGGGCCATCCTCACAACTGTGGTTACATTTGAGCCCACTGTAGCATCAATCTATTTTGTTGGGGGTCTCACTCTTTTTCACTGACCCTCCACTTTACCAAAGGAGCCCTGGTAGCATAATGAATTACCAGCTGGGCTGCTAAGAACAAGGTCAGTAATTCAAATCTATTACTTGTTCCTCCCGAGAAAGATAAGGCTTTCTGGTTCTGTATAGATCTACAGGTATACAGATATACAGAGTTACCACCACCATCACTTTACCGAGCGTGAGGTCCCTCTCCAGGGAGTGGTCCCTCTCATAACAAACATGTCTGCAGAATGAGAGGAAGTCTGGCTGTCCTGGTTTCTAAGGAGCACGCTGGCTCTGCACTTCTTTCAAAACAGATTTGTTAGTTCTTCTGGAAGTCCATGGTACTTTTAATATTCTTCTCCAATACCATAATTCACATGCATCAATTCTTTTACAGTCTGTCAAATTCATTGTTCAACTTTCACATGCATATGAAACAATTAAAATACCATGGCTTGGACCAGGTGCACCTTAGTCCTCAAATTGGACAACTTTGCTCTTGAACATTTTAAAGAAGTCTTGTGCTGCAGATTTGCCTAATGCAATACGTCATTTGATTTCTTGACTGCTACTTCCTTGAGTAAGGAACTCTGGTACCATAGTGGGTATGAATTGGGCTGCTAACCTGAAGGTCGGCAGTTCGAAACTACCAGCGGTTCCGTGGGAGAAAGATGAGGCGTTCTGCTCCTGTTAAGATTTACAGCCTCATAAACACTTACCGACTCTACGGTACTTAACAACAACAACTTCCATGAGTGTTGATTGTGGATCCAAGCAAGTTGAAGTCTTTGACAACTTAAACCTTTTCTCCATTCATCATGATGTTACTTATTGGTCCAGTTGTGAGGATTTCTCTTCTTTACATTGAGGTGCAATCTATGCTGAAGGCTTCGAGTCTTTGATTTTCATCAGTAAGTGCTTCAAGCCCTCTTCATTTCTAACAAGCAAGGTTGTATCATCTGCATATCACAGGTTGTTAATGAGTCTTCCTTCAATCTTGATGCCATGTTTTTCTTCATATAATCCAGTTTCTTGGATTATTTGTTCAGCGTACAGATTGAATATCTATAGTGAAAGGGTATAACTCTGGCGCATACCTTTTCTGATTTTAAACTATTCAGTATCCCCTTGTTCTCTTCTTACAACTGCCTCTTGGTCCATGTACAGGTTCCTTATAAGTACAATGAAGTGTTCTGGAATACTAATTTGTGCAATGATACTGATCGATACTTCTGCATTCTGTTGGCTCCCCTTTCTTTGGCATGGCATAAATACGAATCTCTTGCAGTCGGTTATTGTTATTAAGTGTTGTCGAGTCAATTCGGACTCACAGCAACCCTGTAGAGGGTTTCTGAGGAGTGGCTGGTGGGTCTGAACTTCCAATCTTGTGGTTTGCAGTCCAGTTCTTCTCCTACAGCGCCACACCAGGACTCGGTGGCTCTTCCAGATTTCTTGGCATACACGAGTGGCACCTCCGATGTTGCATCCGTTTGTTGAAACATTTCCACTGGTATTCTGCTAATTAGCCTTGTTTTTCTGTAATGCCTTCAGTGCAGCTTGGGCTTCTTCCTTGGGTACCACTGGTTCTTGACCCTATGCTACTTCCTGAAATGGCTCTGACTGATGATAGTGAGCTTCTCCAGGGTCTCTGCTTGATAGTGCCAGCAGATCTGACTGAGACCATGCTTACAGTGCCGCCTGGGCAGCCCTGGTCTGCCCTTCTTCACTAGACGCCAGCCGCTCCAGCTCTTCACCAGGGGCCCCAGAAGAGGAGACTGGGTCTGACCTCAGCACGCCCTTCTCTTGGGTCTCCACACAAAGGCCTTGTTCCCAGTGGTCCTCTGCAGTCAGTTCCTTACCCAGTCTTTGTTGTTATCTCAGCCCACCTGAAGTGAGTTCCTGATAGCAGATTCTTGTATGTTTGGTTATCCCTACGTCCCAGGAACTAGAACAGTGGCACCGATAAGATACTCAAGACCTTGTTTAATCTTCACCAACATGAAGCCAGTAGATAGTATTTGATTGTTGTCTTCCTGTTTCCATACGGTTGAGTGTGTGTGTCTGTCTTTGAGGCTGTCTGTCTTTGCAATGAAATTGCCCATCCTTCTCCCTTACTCTTTTTTTTAAAAAAGGAGCGTGCTCTTTGTAATTGGTAGTTACGGGACAAATAATTAAATTTGGCTTTTAGTCTCAGGTTTCTGAAGTAACCTGAGGATTAAGGTACTTTTTGTTTTTATCATATAGCCAGCTACACATTTGCTGTTGTGCTTACACGCTGTTCAGTCAGTCCTGACATAGTGACTCGCTTTAGGGTTTCCAAGGAGCGGCTGGTGAGTTTGAACCGCTTATCTTTTGGCCCAGTGCTTATCCTACCGTGCCACACCAAGACTCCTACACATGCACATGTGTACGTCTTAAGGGGCCACACAAAGCCTACACTGACAACAGGCCTCAGAAGGGGAGGAGCATGATGCAGTCAAGCATACATATCCATTGACTGTATGGTAAGCTCTGGACTGTGAACAAGGTGGGCAGTTCTAGCCCAACAGCCACTCCACAAGAGAAAAACGAGGTTTCCTGTGTCCACAAAGATGCATAGCCTCAGAAACCTTATACAGACTACGAGTCCAAAGCCCCTGACAACAAGAACATGAAGGCTCCAGTTGTACATGCTGACTGAGGCGCCCATGACTATGGGACCTTGGACTTCTGAGCCTACAGCTGGTTCCCAATTACCTGAGCCCCGGGGACCATGGATGAGCTATGTCAGAAAGAGGAAGTGCCATGGAAGTGCCCGGCAAGGATCAATGGGGATGAGGGAAGGTGGTACCTGGGATCCACTTCCAGGTGGAAAGTGGATTCATGCCGATTTGTACCGAGTGGTCACAGTTCGGTGGGGTTTTCTCACATGTCCCCCTTTAGTGCAGTCTGTGCAATAGATAAGATAATTCAACTCTCTCACTCTTATTTGCCCTGCAGTTGATGGCGCACCCTTATACCTGGTAAATTTTCCATATGAGTCTCTAATTTGTTCACGCTCAAGTTCCTTAACCAGTTCCTGGATGGTTTCTAATCTTGGAGTGAAGAAGTTGGGACCCAGGGGCTGGTCTGAGCACAAGTAGCTGGGGTAGGGAGGTGGGGGCCTTACTTTCCCAGGCCCGTGACTGGCAAAGTATCTGTCTCTGCCCATGGGCAAGGCCTTGGGGCAGCCTGCATGCTGTAGCAGTGAGGTTCCTCATGCCAGCGTCTCCTGTTCTACCCGGACCTGCTGCTGATAGGCGGTGGAGGCTGTCCTCAGATCCTGGGGGCCAAGATGGGACCTGGGTGGGACAAGCCTGGGCCGTTCTCACAAACAGCAGCTGTGACTTCATTCTTAAGGCATTGGTTGATTTTCAGATAAATGGAATAGCATCTGAAGTTTGATCTTTGTATTTTAATTTTAGAAAAGGTTGACCAACTTGAGCCACAGTGTGATCTCACATTGAAGCTCCCCTTCTGGGTCGTCTGCAGCTCAAGGTGACCCCATCTGTGTCAGAATTCACCTGCGCTCCACAGTCTTTCGGGGAGCTGCTTTTCAGAAGTGGATTGCCAGACCTTTCTTCTGAGGTGCTGCTGGGTAGACTTGACACTCCAGCCTTTCAGTTAGCTGCAGAGTGAGCGAGTTAACTTCACCACCCAGGGACTCTTTGTAAAGCAGCATCAGCAGGTAACCCCTAATAAATAAATGTTCTACATATGCTTGCATGCACATGTGATTTAGAAAGCTGGCCACTATTGTACACATAAAGCCCCGCATTAACAACTTCACTTTTTACACTCGACTGTACACATGTGCAGTAAACCTTTAGAAAAGGCATCATTTGGTATAAGCCCCATATGATGCGATTTTCCCAGCAGCAGCCTAACCGCTGAGATAGTACTAGATTTTTTTAAGTGATAAACAAGATTATTATATGCAAACAAACCGAGCTTGCGTCCCAGCTGCATCCGAGTTTATTTTACAAAGCTGTAAACACAGGCCCGTTCTAGAGCTCTGCTGCTTGGGTTACCCCGTCCTTTGTGGTGGGAGAATAATGTAAAGAGCCCAAAGGGGCCCCTGGCCCTCTCTTCCCGGCTTCCTGAGTGTGTAACTTAAAGGAACTCATTCATCTTCGGGTTGGGCAATGTTCCTGTCATGGCCTTTCTCACACAGGACTCTGGAGCGGGGGACATCTGATCTCAGCCTGCCAAGCTGGGCCCTGGGGGTAGGGGGGTGGGGGGAGCAGGGGGCACGGCCCTCCACTGCTCTGCCCTGAACACTACTCAATTGAGGGCCTCTAGTGTAATTCTATCCCAGGCCTGGGGGACAAGATGGGGCAGGCCAGCTACCCAGGAAGGCCCAGCCCTCCTCTGCTGCGACCCAGCTCTGAGCGGCTCCTCCCCATGGAGGTGGCTGTTGGTCAGTTCCCACCTCCTTCCTTCTGGAAAACCAGCAATGGGAGGCTAGGGGTGCCCAGGGATCTGTGCTGTAGAGAATCAGACTACCCGGAGCCCCTGCCTGGCTGGTAACTTCCCAGCAGGACTCAGCAGTAGGCAGTTTGGGAAAACTCAGTCTGTCTCTGGTCCCAGGGTGCAGCAGGCTGCAGTTGGAGTTGGTCAGGTCTCGCTCTGGCCTTCCCCGGTGCTACCTTCTCTTGCGGGTGCAGGTCTCCAGGCGGCCTAGCTCCTCATAGGACTGGTAGAAAATGTCGAACTCCCTGGCGCCCCATCCTCTCCAGACAGCCAGGCACCACTCTGAGTTCTGGTTTTCAAAGCCACATACCACAGTGTCCTTCGCCACCACGGCTGCATCCACCAGCATCCTGCAGAGAGAGGGGCTCCGTGTAAATGCACAGGGCCTGCCAGGCCAGGGCTCTCAGTTCTACCACATTGGGTGAGGCTGTGTATGGAAAGGTCATCCTTGCAGCCCAGCTGGGACCTGTCAACGGGCTGCAGTTAGCCTTCATGGTCACGAGTGTCCTTTCACATTCCTGGGGACTGTCGGGGAGGCCCCTGAAGCCACAAGCGAGGGCATTCTTTGTGACTTAGTGCCCAGCAAACACCATCGCCTCCAGAACACCTGCTGGCAAATGTTGCTTTAACTCAGCACCTCCCGCCTCCCAGGCCCATGTCATCTTCTCTCTCTAAGCTCTCCTGTGTTTAGGAAATGCAGGGCAACACATTAACCAGAAAAACCTGCTGACAAAAAGCCATCCGCTATCTACATTGTGACTGTGGGTTCTGTGAGTGATGTATACACTACCGTTTCCTTTGGGGCCCCAGCGGACACCTCTTCTCAGCCTGCCTGGCCTGGGTGGCAGCTCTGCAGGGCCTTGTGGCCACCTCCTACCAAGCCCACCGAGCTTATGCAGCCTGCCCCACCTCCTGGCTCATGCCCTGCCCGATGCCTTTCACGACATTGTCTCTCATTTTCCAGTGGCAGGACCTGGTCTTCCGACCCTGGCTCCCTTGTGCTTGCATATGGTATAACACACAAAACCAGACGCACCGTCAAAATGCTTCAGACTCATGGAGAGCCCATGTGTTACCAAGTAGAACTGCTTTAGGTGGGTGTCTTGGCTCTAATTTCCATAGAAGTAGATTGGCAAGCCTCTCTCTTGCTGGGTGGGTTTTGGTTTGGAGTCAAGAGCATAAACTGTTGTCAGGTCCCAGAGACCTTTATATGGTTATAAGCTGGGGGCTTGAAGGTCTCAAAAAGCTGGTGGGCCCAGACCTCTTGATATGTATATGGTTAAGTGTGCCTGGGGTTTGGTAAAACCCAGTGCTGGGGAATGAACAGAAAAAAAACCCATTAAGTGATAATTCAGGGAGACTAATGTCAGGCATGAGTCCTGGTGTGGCGCTGTGGGTTAATGTGCCAGACTGCAAAAGCCGTTTGAACTGCAAGGTCGGTGGTTCAAGCTCACCAGTCGCTCCTTGGAAAGTCTATACAGGGTCGCTATGGGTCGGAACTGACTCAATGGCACTTAACAACAACAACAATGGCAGGCAGGGTGAACTCAACAAATCTGGGCTCTGCCAAGCTCTTGCTTCCAGACACCCCCCTCCCCCCCTTTTAGCCGAGGGCTGCCCCACGTTTCCATCCACAAACTCAAGTTGGGACAGCTTCTATGGGCCCCAGTGACCCCCTTAGAAAGCTGCTTGCTGGTGGCCAAGGAAGCAGAATTGACATGGAATTCATTGTCTTACGCTGGGGGAAATGGCACATGGGGTTTCTCCAATCCCTTTTTGCTCCAGCTGAAATAAAAGAACTCAATTGATAACTAGCGCTATGAAGAACAGACCGAGTGCCACATAGATGTGTTTCAACACACACACACAAACACACATGCAGAGACCCACATGTTTGCACTGAGGGGCTTTTCATGAGGAAGACTTACTGCATGTGGCCCAGGGAAGGGGAAACAGTGCTGGCCACTAAGGACACTGGGAATCTCCCTGTGTGTGTGTCCTCAACAGGTTGTCCCGGCCCAGTAGAGGCCTTGAGGGGCAGTCTGGCACCTTCCCTGGTAGAATGCACCCATAGCTGGAGAGGGAGCTGTAGTTGAGCACCAGGCTTTGGGATGGCACACACTGACTAGCCCCCATCCGGTGGTGTCTGGGAAGCAGGGAAGGTGAGCCACCTGGGTTCCCGTTCCGGCTGCTCTGGCCCTGGCAGACTGGAGCCTCGTGCATGGCAAGGTGCCAGAGAGCACATCCTTCCCCAGCAGGACACGCTGAATGTCCTCCCGGGACACACTCCAGGCAGGTTCACTGCTCTACAGGGCTGCGCACCCCGAAGCACGCAGCTGTATCCAATGGCTTATGATCAGACTGACTGGTGTTTGCTGAATCCTCAGCAGCTACCTAGCTGACCCGCTCTCACTTCTTTGCCTTGGGGTCAAGTTGGATGCTGAGATTTTAGGTGTGGGGATGACGGGGCAGGAAGGAAGGCCATTCTTTAGGAAAATGGAGGGAGTGCTCCACATCCCTGCTGCCCCAGTCTTACCCGTGTGGAGTCAGTTCCCGGGCCTTCAACACAGCGATGACGCGGCCCCGCTGGGTGCCTGATTCCTTCTCCAAGCCAAGGACGAGAACATCTCCACCACGCCTAAGAAACCAAAATCGAAAAGAGGAAGCATCTGTGCCCGGCTGGACTGCCCTGGGAAAATAGATCTGGCATGCAGAAAAGCATGCAACAAATGTGCCATCTCTGCTCATGGGTAAAGTTCCCAGGAGGGCACAGAAGCCGCGGCAGGGAGGAACTTTCCCAGTAAGAAATGTAATCACCAACACCTGTGGCTCTCGTTTGATTGAACTTCAGTGCTCCGGTGGGGAGAGGAGGTTTAGTGCCGACTTAGTATAAAGTCACTTCTGACTCCTAGAGACCCCATGTGTGTCAGAGTAGAACTGTGCCCACTCGGGTTCTCAGAGGTAGATTGGCAGGCCTCTGGGTAGACTCAAACCTTTCAGTCCGCAACTGAGCTCTTAATTGTTTACACATCAGGGACTCCAGTGAAAGCCCTGGCCCCCCACAACGTCCACTGTTCAGTGTGGGTTCTGCAGGTGTGTCAAGGTGGGCAACTTACCTGGGAACCCAAATGAGGTCTTTGACGGCGAGGATCTTCACAGCTTGCAGGTGCTGGCTGAAGGAGTCCCCGTCCACTGTGCTCAGCTCCGGCTGCCTCTCTGAGTCCTCGCAGTAGGTGGAGAAGGGCGCGCTGGAAGTGCTTAGTGGGGAGCTGGACAGGCTGGTGGGGGACTGGGCGGTCCAGGGTGGTGGGGAGGAGGAGCAGTAGTCGCTTAGCGAGTCCTGGTGGGTCAGGATCTGAACACCGAGGTCCTTGCTATATATGATGCTCACGTCTGCCAGGCCATCCTCCTTGGCCTTTGGCAGGCTGGTCGCGGGGCTGTCTGGGGGCTCCGGGGCCGGTGGGCATACCAGGAACTTGTCCCGAAGGGGGTTGGGGTCTCCACAGAAGTACCGGGCACACAGTTGGTAGGTGGCCGAGTGGTACATGACCAAGGAGTTGGTCTTGTCATCCAGGCACCAAACCACCTCCTCACCCCTGCACTCTGAGCTACATGTGATTGAGGTGACCACTGAGGGGGCCATGTAGGGCTCCAGCCGCTGGCAGATCTCCAGGGTACAGCAGTCAACCACCAGCAGGCCCGGCCCGTTGCTGTACCAGACCTCGGAGCCACTGTTGACCACCTCCATGGCCTTCACGGGATAGGGGTTCTGCCGTGCATCCTCATCTGGGATGCTGAACTTGGACCTGTTGGCCGTGTGGGAGCACAGGTAGGAGCAGCTGTCCTGTGGGGTGCCCCGTGCCACAGGGAACACAGCCACCAGCCCATCTGCCAGGCCCGCCAATACCAGGTAGGAGTTCTGTGGGGAGAGGACAGAGAAGTGACCATCTCAGCCACTCCAGGCAGAAACAAGGTGGGGGCAGGAAATGTCGCTCCCCAACACCTCCAGAGCAAGCGCCTTTGATTGTTTTTAACCACTGCTTGGTATTTTCCTTTTTTTTAAAAAAAAAAAACGAATTACTTCCTATTTTCTTTTTAAATTAAATGAGCACTTTCCTTCTCCTTCCCTGCCCCTGGTTACTAATGAATTTTGGTCTCTATACTTTTATGTATGTATATATTTAATATAAGTGAGACTACACAGTATTTGTCCTTTTGAGTTTGGCTTATTTCACCTAGCACAAAGCTTTCGAGGTTTATCCATGCCACAGTATGTGTGAGAACCTCCTTCTTCTTTATGGCTGAAAACAGTCCATTGCCTGTACGTGGGTGTTTTGTTTATCTATTCATCTGTCAAAAGACATGAGTTGTTTTCACTGACTATTGTGAACTGTTGTTGTTAAGTCAAGTCAGTTCCGACTCAAACTGACTCAGTGAACAACAGAACTGAACACCGCCCAGTCTTGTGCCAGCCTCCCAGTCACTGCTACGTCTGTGCCCACTGCTACAAAAACTGTGTCAATGAATCTGACCAGGAATCTTTTTCTTTTCCTACAGTTCTCTACTTTGTCCTCCAGTGAACATGTCAAAAGTAAGTGAGACAAAGTCTCAGCACCTTGGCTTCTCGGGAGCGTTTGGACCGGACTTTTCCCAAGACAGAGCTGTGGTTCTTTCGGCACTGCAATAGATCCAATATTGTTCATAAATCAAAGGCTTCAATTCTTCTATAGTCCTCCTTAGTCCTGGTCCAGATTTCACATGCAGATGAAGTGACTGAAAATACCAGGATGCACCTTTGTCTTTAAAATGATATCTTTACTTATTTTTTTTTTTTTTTTTAACACTTCAAAGAGATCGTTTGCAGCAGATTTGTCCGATGCAATGCTTCACTTGATTTCTCAACTCCTACTTTTTATACAGACTCGTGAGTAATGTATACAATACCTGTCTGAGTTTTTGGTTTTTCTTCTTTTGTGTCTATACCTAAGAGTGGAATTGCTGGGCCACAATGTAATTCTCCCCACTTGTCTGTCAGTTTGTCGTACTGTGGTGGCTTGTACGCTGCAGCGATCCTGGAAGCTTATGCACTGGTGTTTTAAATACCAGCAGGGTCACCCGTGGTGGACAGGTTTCAGCGGAGATTCAAACTCAGAATAGACTAGGAGGAAGAAAGAGGCAGTCCACTTCTGGGGATCACTCACTGAAAATCTTATGAATTGTTGTTGTTGTTGTTAAGTGCCGTCGAGTCGGTTCCGACCCATAGCGACCCTGTACAGGGTTTCCGAGGGTGTAAATCTTTACGGGAGTAGAAAGCCTCATCTTTCTCCCGCGGAGCGGCTGGTAGTTTCGAACCGCTGACCTTAAGGTTCGCAGCCCGATTCGTAACCACTACGCTACCAGAGCTCCTTAATCTTATGAATAGCAGTGCCGTATTATCGGATATAGTTCCAGAAGATTCACCCTTTAGTTGGAAGGCACTCAAAATAAGATTGAGGACAAGCTGCCCTTTCAAAGGACATTGGTGAACCCCTTGAAGATCACTTACTGAAGCATGAGCTCTCTACAGCCGCCCGAGGTCCTGGGCAGGTTGAGAGAGCAGAATGGGACAGAACATGGTTTTGCAGCTCAGCAGCTAGGTGGTGTGTGGTGTGTGTGGGGGGCGGGCAAGGAAGAGTTCCCCAAGAGCAGAGCCAGAGCCAGGATGTGAGCAGGGAGCCAGGCCCCCTGCCAGCGAGGGTGAGCCACAGAAAGCCTCCTTGTTGGGAGCTCGGGAGGTGGGACCACCAGAGTACTGGGCGCCGTGGCCTCCAGCTCAACAGCAAGGTCAACAAACCCTAAGAAAGTTTTCAAAATCCATCGTTGGGACTTCAGGGAAAGAAAGCAGCCAAGGAAAACAGGAGCGCCGTCTCTGCTGGACCCCAGTTCTGGGCCAGGGCTGTGTGTGAACGTGCGCAGACAAGCGTGCCCAGGGTGGGACAGCTGAGCAGCAGACCCTGCGCAGGTAAGGCCACACAGAGCCAGCTTTATCCCCTTGGGCGTGGGGAGGAGGTGCCTGGCCCCGGTTCCCGCCAGCCAAGGCCTTAAAACACCGCTTTGTGTGTGTGTTCCGCACAGGGTGCGGGCCAGGCCTGAGCTGCTCACCTCGCCCGTGGGCCAGGCAGAAACCACTCTAAGGCTAACTTCAGAAACTTCCATCCTTTTCTTAAGAAATGAAATTGGAGAGGAGTGGAGAGAAGAACATACATTTAGGAGAAAGAAGAGCACTTTCATTTTGCTACTGTCAGGAAGCAATAGGAAGGCTCACATTTACAAGGACCAAAGACCCTCCTCACGACCCCTTACTGTCCCCATTTTACAGATGGAAAGACTGGAATTGCATGATGGAAGTCAGCACATTTTAACAAAGCACCCATATTGTTTGGATGGGATTCTCAGAGTCAGCGAGCATGCATTCATTCACCCTCCAGAAGTGCTGGCTGTAAATGAGCAGGGAGTGAGTGAGCAGGACCTATGGATTGTGGGACACAGGAGGTACCCCCAGCAGAGGGGCGAGGTCCCTGCAGTTGATCATGACAACTGAATGGAGGTGGTCGGGGACAGAGGGGTGTGCAGTGGGGGAAGGATTGAGGGTTTAGTGCAGAATGTGGGTGTAGGGTGTAGAAGGGGTGAGGGACCAGTTGTGGGGGAGCCTTGTGACTCACAAGGTCTAAATCTTGAGGCTGCAGAACTGTGCAGGTTCTGGGCTGACAGAAGCGAAGGCTGGGAGGCAGAGGGGCAGTGTGCAGAGAAACCGGGGACAAAGAGGTGGGCCAGGGACTGGCGGTGAGCACTCAGAGGAGGCAGAGCTGGAGGAGAAGGAGTCCCAGCTGCCTAACTGATGGACAGGAGCTGGGCCTACCAGGACCTGAAAAACACCTGGGCATGGGGTGTAGAGAGCTGGGAAGGCGGGGACTGGCTCAATGCACCCTGGTATCAGAGGGTGCCTGCTCGTTGGCCCCTCGACTCCCCAGGGGAAAGCTGGCTCACAGGACTAGGGCTGCGACATTTGCATGTGGAAAACTAGCATTTCATGGAAGACCTTACCTAAAGATCCTGTTGGCTTTCACGGGGAGGAAGGGTACAAAGTCAGGGCCCAGGTCTACTGCCTCTCTTCCTCCTTACTAAAGCTGACTTTGACCAGGGCTTGGTGGACCAAGGGTGTGCAGCTCAACTGTCCCCTCCTCCTGCCTCCCCTCACAGCAGCAAGCTGCTCCCATCCAAACCGCCCT